TCTGCCTGTTTGGGAAGACTGCTGAGTCAGCCAGGTTTCTCTGCCTGATGCCACTGGGTTCCATGGGTTGGCATCACCCTCAGTGCCCAGCATGACAGGCTGAGCTCATTTCCACTGCAAAACCATTCCAGAAGTGTGTCTTTTCCCCATGACTGTATGAGTAACTCAGGATATTATTTTGAGAATATTGAAAATTAAATCCCTCAAGTAATAAAATAAATAAAATTAAATATAAAATAAATCCCCAAGCTTTTGTTAACATTTTAAGTGTTATACAATTATTAAGTCAYGCTAGACTTTTACCTGCAGCCAAACATGTTAAATTAGTTAAACAGTTATTTCCTGTGCTTTGAAGCTAGCTATTTCAACACAGCAGGTAGTCTGATAATCTCTCAGCTGCACTATTTACCAGGCAAATAGCTTCTTTGTGCAAAAAAAACCACAGCCAACCCAGGGATATAAAACAATGCATAGAAGTTGATCAAGCTGTCATATGAGTGCTTCAAATTATACTCAGATTGCCTAGGGAGCAATGACAAGAACAACCAGATTCTCATGCTTGTCTCCTACAACCAATAACCTGCACAACCATACTCACATGTGGCCTGCACCAAGCTGTCCTTAAAAATGCCCCAAATACCTTTAAAATGTCCCAACAGCACTGCATGTTTCAGCATCAGTTCTGGTCAGGGGCTGCGCACTGTGACACGTGAATGAGCATGCAGGGGTTTTGCCACAGCAACTTCTGTGTTTCTGTCACAGGACAGGCAGTCATTTACAGCTGTCAAGGTTTGTTTTAAGGTAGTTTTTCCATGTAATCGTGAAGAAAGCAACCTACTAGAGTTTTAAGCTGTGGTTTCATCTCGTTTCAATGAGCTGCTCTCCTTTGTCAGTGAGTAGGGGCATGCTGATGCCTTCCACTAATCTGTAGCTGACTGGCTCAGCTACTGAAGATAAGACAGAATAAATAATGATGAAATCTTATTGCTTATAGCTATCCAGGGGGACAAAAAAGGTGCTTTTGGCCAAGTTGCTAAACATCTAGTGACTGAGTAACAGAGCATTCAGTATATCAGATAAGACAAGGAGGCACAGGAAAAGGTGTTCTGATGCGTGCTGTAGAGTTTTCTTTGGTTTCTGGACTTGTAAAGCAGTTTGAAATTCTGTTTGTGGGACAGATCTCAGCAGAGCTCTGGGCCTCCTATCCCCAGAGCTGTCACTCAGAAGGTCCCTGGGCTGTGGATCACAGCCTCTGCCTGGGGGTGTCCCCTTGCCCCCCATGATGTGGCCCTTTGCCAGCCTTCTTTAGGGTCTTCATTGCCCAGCTGTGGGGSAGAGCTGAATGTCCTGTGGCCCAACACACAGCAGCGGGCTTGATGGGAGGGCAGCCCAGGGGAAGGTCTTTGGGGGACAATGGGGACTGCCACCCAGGGCTGTCTCCTTGCCTCTGATTCCTCTTCCCCCTGTTGCACCAACCTCTGCCTTCTGTCCAACATAGGACCACAAGAGCTGAAGCACTTGGTGGAGTGCACTGACTGACTGCAAAGAGGTGTTTTGGGGGGGGGATGTTTTCTTTCCAAAACATCAGTTCTTCGTCTACCATCCCCCACTGGTATCACTCTGTGAAACTGATCTTATGGTTAAACACTGCTTTTTGAGTAAACCCGAGGCACCCGAGGCCTGTGCTGTTAGTTTAACAGAGCGGGCATAATTCGCTGCATTAGAAGCAACAACTCTGCTGTATTTGTGAAGTTAGAGGTTATACTGACCCGTATCTTTTCTCCTGCTGAGCAAGAGCTGTCAGATCACACATGCCTGAAGAACAAATAGTAAATTTTCCCTGTCTGTTTGTAGGGAGGCTGAAGGGTGTGAGGTAGAAAGTGAGAGGACTTTTGGTTCCCATCCTCCAGGTAGAACCTTAGTGATAGTGAGAARAGAACAAAACCCCAAACGCCTGCTTCAACAAAGAGCATGTCAACCCTGGAGGCTGTTGCAGTCTTGGGATGGGGTACTTGGAGCACTTGGAGGCTGCTGGGCTACAGCCGATAGTGTTGTCCTGGTGCAGTCTGTGAAACAGGGCCTGGCATCTGGCCGAGGGACAAGCAGGCTGCCCAAAGCTGGGATCACCACAAGCATGGCTGTGAGCTCCATTCTTGCACTCTGTAGCTGTGGTTGCTGTGGCAGTGGCTAATTTAATTGGTTGTTAATTGCCCCCGAGATGCGTCTCTGTTCATTTATATCCCCACATTGCCCATCACACCAAATGGCAATAGCCCAGTGACCTGAGCTCTGCCTTTCTGCCCAGCCTTCCTTGCTGTGCTGTGTGTCCTTGAGGCGGTCTGTGGAAGGCAGAGAGCCCTGTTTATTCCCGCCCTCCATTTTTTTTGGGAATGAGAGAGGAGGACCTGCTGGTGGAGCAGGCGTCACAGCGGAATCGGCAGCGCTCACCTCCTGCACGAACAAACGGTGCCGGCGAGTGGGAGGGATAAAATGTTAGTCTGCAGGAGGGAGAGTGGGAGGCTGTGAAAAAGAGCTGGACTGGAGAGGAAATGAGAAGAGCGAGTGTAATCAGGAAAACCTGTTTTGTTGCTTGCAGCGACGAGAGCAGGATTAAGAGAGTAGGACATGGTGTATGGGGGGGAGAGATGAGAAGGGGCCACGTAACAAACAGCGCGGCACAGCATGGATGTGGGCAGGGAGCAAGCTGTCTGCTGCTCTTTTGTGCTAAGCGTGGTGCCTGCCTCTTCTTAACACTGTCTCTGGCAAATCCTGCAGTGGAAAATCACAGCGTGATGTCGATACACCCAGAGCTATCGCCTGATGAAGCACGTCTAGCAGACAGCTCCTGGATGCCGGTCTTGATTGGCAGGAAATCCCCTGTGGGAWCGGCAGACACCCCTCATCACCACCACTCTGTCCTCCCATGGCTGGCACTGCTCATGGTCCCTGTAACCTCCCCAGCACATTTTACAAACACGGAGAGATTGTATAAGAGATGCAGYGTGAGGAGAAGCACAAACCGTGAAGTGCTGGTCCTTCACAGCAGTGGATCTGCTCCTGTGCCTCCCTCCTACCGCCCTCTGGGCTCTTTTCCCTGGAATATGTGAGGAAAGCAGAATTCCAGTGTCCTGCTTGTAAAGGGGCATGTCTGTGAGGGCACCAAGCTACTAAGGGTAGGAAAGGAAGGAATCTCCTTCCAAAAATATGGACTAACASCCTGCAAAGGCTGATTTAGCTTATGTGAGAAATTCTCTTCATCTTCAAATCTCTCTGAGAACCACATGGGGACAACTTTCCTCCTGCTGTGCTGTACTTCTATRTTTATGTCTTCATCCACTGCAAAGTGATTTACAAGGAAGCAAGCAATATTTAGTGCAGCTGTGGCCTCTGTTTCTTCCACATTTCTCGATGTAAACTGAGAATCACTCTACTAAAATCAATTATGTCCATTTTGCAATTGCAGCTCTAGGGAATCCAATACATAAGTAAGGATCTCGCCTCCTTGAGCTCTCTACCCCCTGAAGGTTTTACTGTTGCTTTGCTGGATGCCCTTCCTTAATAGTAGTTACAGTGGGAGTGATGGCAGCTGAGACTGACCCTGTTGAGGCTGCACCTTCAGCTGCATTCCAGGGAGATGAAAAACCTGCAGTAAGGTAGGAGGCCTTGTTAGTTACTCCTGTGTGGGTGTTGGGCCAAAAAACCACCCAAATAGATGAGGAGGGTGCAGGGAGCTGCCAGAAAAGTACATGCATTTCTGTCACTGTGAGTCCTGCCTTCAATGCTAAGAGTTTTTGATATATTCAACTATACTGAGTATTTAGTCAAAACACACCACCAAGCATTGTGTTAACAGAGGGTATTTACTGGGAACACAGGGCAGAAAGGAGGCTTTCCTTGAGACTGAATRGGGGGCACAACACTTTGCACCAGACTCATAAAATCACCATTGTTCTTCATTTTGCAGAGGACACACAAGAACTTGCTGAGGCTGTATTTGCTTCCCAAGCCATTCTATCATTGCCARTGACTGCACACCACTTAATCTCATTCCAAACCCCACAACTTTAGGGAAAACAGTGCCAATTGTACTCTTTCTGGTGCCAGTTGCCAAGGCAGGTCYATTGAAGGTGATTCCCAGCCAGCCTTCAAGTTGCCCTGTGTTCTACCTAGGTGCCCATCACCCCTACCTGCATCAGATTGAGTGCTCCTTACTTACATTTTTGGCTGTAAAAGGACAGCATTTAAAAAATAAATAATTTTCTAGAGCCTCCTTTTGGTTTTGCACAAATCTCAGCTGACAGTATGCTTGTGTAATTGTCATCCAGATACCTCACCTTCCCATTCAGCTACATCCTCCTTCTCCCCACTGATGGACACATGTGCCAGAAGTCAGTAACCATCTAAATCTGTCAGATTGGTAATATGTGGTGAAAATCTTCAGATTCAAGGCACATTTGATCTTCCTGCTCTTTTTTGAGCTGCAAGAAACTCAGGAAGATTTGCTGCTAGATTGATACTAAGAATGGTAAAAGGTTTCTAGTACAGAAAGCAGGTTTTTTTTTGGTTTTGTTTTTTTTGTTGTTGAAGGCAGCTTTTCACATCTCCAGTGCTGTCTCCATTAGAAGCTTCAGGTTCCTGTGACTCTGCAGTGTTGATCCAACTCTGCCCATCTCATATTTACTTGTGGTAAATTACAACCACTTCTGCTTTGTTTGCAAGAATGTTCATAATTTTACCTGTTATTCTGGCTGACTGCCTCATATTCAGCAGGAGTCTTCTATTGTAATATAAACCTTTCTTTCCAAATGCTGTCAAAGCTTAGGTCCTTCTTTGGTTTTCTTTTCTTTGGTTATTCTTTTCTAGCTGAATTTATAACAATTTGTTTGCTTCTTCTTCAGTAATTTGTCGTGGTCAATACCAGTAGTTTTTGATGATGACATAAAATAAAAACTATTGGTAAAAAGAGCCATATACAAACTGGTACAAATGGAAATAAATCATGTCATGCATTTTCACATCTTTAATTAGTAGTGGCAAACAAAATTCATATGTCACTTCAGCTAGTGATAGACGGGTTAACTATTTTTCCTATGAAGAGTGTGCTGTTTGTATCTCTATCAAAAATCAGCATGAGGAAGGGATGGCTGAATTCAATGGTTGGAGGAAGAGCCACTGGCATTATATGAACAGCAGTTGCTGCTGCTGCCTCAGTACCTCTCTCATCAACATCCAGACAAGCCTTGTGAACAACCTAGGAAAAAAGAAAATATAGTCAACAACCATCTAAGAAATGAATCAGGCTCCTTTTAAAGCACCCCTGCTTTGAAGGATCCACTGAGAAGTGAGCAGAGGCAGAAGAGCTTTATGGTTGTAGTCATGGCTGCTTAAATGAGAGCTAAGATGGAGCTATAGAAATATCCCAAAAAGTGTCCAGAAGATTGGATGAAGGATAGAGCCTCTACCTGTGTTTGTCTGAACCTCCAAGATTGAGGCTCCAGGGTGAGAAGGACAGGTTGTGCTGTGCCTGGCAGCATTAGTGGTTTTTCTTGTGGAGACAGGGGCTGATGCTCCTCTCATGTTTCAGATACTGCCCAAAAAGTCTCGGCTGTCTTTAGTCTTGGAAAAAACAGTCATGCAGCAATCTAATCTGATCTCCAATGTCATTGAAGGCCAAACTCCTTTTGTGAGCTTGCAGGCTGAGGGCTGGGTGACCCAGCTGCAGGCACACTGGGAAGCTGGGATCTGTATTTACCTGGTGTTTCTGGATGCTGCCACTGATGGGTTCTCCTGTATGTTTGTGAAAGAAAGGAGAGGGCCAACAGCCACAGACTTACTTTAGAAACCTTCAGCTCTGGAGTGCCAGCAATGCCAGAGAGATCTGCCTGGTTGGTGAACACATCCACGATTCCCATCTTGCTAAGGGTGTTACTTATTTCATAGCTCCCAGAAATAGAAAATTTGGGGAAGTAGAGTCTCATAAAGCTGTTAGGTAGAAGAGAAACATAGAGYGTGGTGAGAAGGATTTTTCACCAATATAAGTGATGATGAGAAGGTTAATTCCCATGAGTGTCAAATCCCAGGGGTTTGGACCCTTAATGTACAATGAGCACTAATTCAATTGCTGGTGCTTCTCACGTGATACAAAGACTGTCATTCTTAGTAATAATAATAGTAGCTAGCAATCATAATAGTATTTATCTGGTGTTATGCATCAGGAAATCTGAGAGCACTATGCTAAGCAGGACAGTAACAAGAACCCCTTTTTGCAGGCAGAGACAAGGGACAGCTCATGTCGCTCAGGAAGGTGGAGAGCTGAAGTCCTGACAAAGTCTGCTTGGTGAGAAGTGTGGCAAATCCCAACATTTCAAATTAAAAAAAATTATGGCAGAACTGGGGCATTTGGCATGGCTCCAGGAAAGGTCTGTTCCCTGCTGCCTGCACGTTTGGATTCCATGTCCTCTAATTGTCTTCCTCCCCTAGGCTGGCCATGATCGAGTTTGCCTTTGACTGTGAGCTGTCTGCAGGCAGCTCCTTTAATATGCCTTCTGTGGGATTTATTTTCATGCACTGTCCAGGGATCCTCACAGCATCCAGGTCACCTACAGCAGTGATTACACTTTAGGTAGCTCAAGTCTTCTGCTATCTTGCCCAGAGACAGCTTGGGTTAAATAGCACAACAAATGGGACCCAAACTGCATTGTTGTAGCCTTCAGGTGGTGCTGCCCAGTGCAGTACAAGAGGATGGGACTGAATGTATTAGCACATTGTTTTGTTTGGTGCATTTGGTTCCCGCAGTTTCTCCCATGAAGAATTTATTCCTGTATTGATCCTGAACGACCTCATGCCACAAATTCATTTATATAAGGGTTTTCCTGATATTCCAGCTGAAAATAATACATTTTAATTTTTGATATTTGAAGTATCTCATTATTAGCTCATMTCTAGTTTGCTACCCATTATGTTTTTACTAACTGTGCTGGTATTTCTGTGATAATGCACTGAGATATATGGGTGTGAACTGCACAGCCTTATTAGATGTGAATTAGGGCAGAGCTTGGTAAATTAAGCATGTATTAACTTGATATTACTCATCTACTGTTGCTAAGATCTCTCCTCTCCCAGACAAACAAGGTTGTAAAATGCGTTAGCTGATGTTGGTGTTGATGGTTGAAGCTAACAGAAACTCATTAGATTTTTATAATTTCAAAACAAAATGCCAGAAAATTAGGACAGGCAAAATTAATCACTTGCCTGTTCTAACAACCACTGAGTGCTGCAATGGTTCTTTTAAGGAAGGTAGTTGTGTAGGACACATTATGTCTGTAAGCACTACTACAAACAGTGTAAGTTATGCTTTATTTAAGGTTTAGGCTTATGCCTGAGTCTCAGGGTACCGGTGAGATATGAGAGGTAAAACACACCAGCTGAAATCTCGGTACAGAAGATTTGGCTTAAAATTGTGACCATCCCACTCAGTCTGTGGAGTATTTTAGAAACACTGATGTAGGCTTGTTGTTCAGGATGGTCTCTGCTCTGGTCAGGAAGGCAACAAGCCACTCAGCCATCAATGAAAGAACAGTTAAATACCAACCAGCTGCAAAATTTTTACAGCTAGGGTGCACAAGCCAAAAATAACCCACTCAGGTCCCAGAATCACCAAGTTCGTAGTGTTTGCATCCCCAAAAAAGGGAAAAATACTATAAATCTAGGTGCCGCTGAAGCTGACTGGCAGAAGATTACCTCTGGAAGAGATTGTCTGACCATTTCTGGATGGTTTCCTTGTCCAGAGTTTGCTCTAACTGCTTCATTTTCCCTTTTGCTGGCAGAACCAGAAATGCAGTAGCRCTCCCATTATAATGCAGCCGTACCACAGTGCATGACAGCTCCTCATCAAAATAGAAGTCAAATACTCCCATCTGGTACATCATAGGGACTTTCACAGTAGTCTCAGCATCCACAAAGAACTCCCTTTCTTCAGTATCCTCTGGTTTAAAAGGCYTTTCCCAGCTGCCTGATACAGAGAAGGAGAATTTAATGGAATAATCCCATGTTCTATCCCACCATAGACTAAATGTTTTATAGCTAGTAATAATATTCACCTATTTATCCATGCGTTAAGTACAGAATTTTCAAACATAATATTATAAAATTTGTATCACAGTAAGACAAGGRTTTTTACCTGTTCAAAAGAGTGCATTGGATTCCACTTTCAATCTATGTTTCGGATGCCAGTAATGAAATAATTAGGCATTTTTTTGTACCTATCACTTCTGTTCAGATGATCTAAGTGGCCATTCTGTAAGCATCATCTATGTACTCTTMTACTGCATGCACTTAATTTCTACTGACTTTAATAATAAGCCTCAATTTGTAGATTAATTTAATGTAGAATCTCATATCTGACTGGTGTTATGTCAGGCTTATGTCATATCTTCTAACCCACATCAGAAATGCACAGTGTTTCCACTTTGTTCCTTAAAATGTTCTCTCCTATTCATCACTAGCATCATCCATATGTAAATGTTAGTAAAAGGACATGTAAAGAACTCTAATGGGGGGGAAAAAGAAGTACATAGTAAATCAGGCTGTTAAATCATGCATAATTTTAAGAAGAAGCTTTAGGTCATGTAGKGGGTTCAGTGCCTTCACTGAAAATGAGAAGAACGTGGGCACTTGGAGTTATGGTACAACCCAGGAGCACCAGCTCAGGCTGAACAGGAGGCTGTGGCTTGGAGCAGAGCTCCTGGAGCTGTCACAAAGAGAAACAAGCCAGTGTGCCATTCAGCTACTTCCCCATGCTGAGAGGGGTCCTGTCACATCTCTAGCACTTCCACTGTGCCATTAGGGGATCTTCTGTCCCAGCAAAGAGCATTTGACATTTTCCCCAGACCAGTGTTCAGTTGAGGTAGCCAATACCAGGTCTGTTGATAAGAATGAATAGTGAGAACGTGAACCTAGAGAACTTACCGTTAAAGAAAACAAAGCTAGCCAGAAGCATTGCAGTTTGTGGGTCCATGTCCTGGACCAAATTAGTAATTTTCCCATGTGTTTTCCTCTCTATATAATCATTGACCTGCTTTTCAGCTTCTGTGGGATTGTTAAAATCAGTGGTGAAAGCCTCCAGCTGATACAGAGCCGTGGCATCATCTAAAAACATTTTTAGAAGTTTCAGCTTCTCAGTTACAAAGATGGCATTCCCCATGTTGAGCTGGACACCGCCCTCAGGATGGCTCAGCATGTGGATTAGGTTGTGGAAGCCTTCATGTATCTCCTTCTCCTGAATCTCTGTAAGGTTGAAGGCAAGTCCTTCCAGGATCTGAGACCGTGTGGCTGACCTAGCCCCAAGGGCCAGCATCGCTAAGGCAACGGAGATGCTCACAGGAGACAAGAAAATGTTCTTATTAGGTGCCTCCTGTGCAACCTCCCTGAAAAACTGGAATGCAAAGTCAGCATTGTTTGGCACRAGTTTGAGGCAGGCAATCGCTTCACCTCCGTGGTGCATGTGGTGTTTATGTTCATTTGGATCGTGTCCATTGTGGTCAGTGGGTGTGAGCTGACCATGGGYGACCACCTGGAACCCGGCCAGTAGCAAACTTAGGTAGAATGTGGTCTTCATGTTCTTGTATGAAAATCCTATGGAAAGAAAAGGAGATGTTATTACTAAGGTAAGTAAATTAAATAAGTAGAATTAGTTATTCTGTCATTATCATGGAATAAAAAATTTTATCTCTTTCTTTTGTCCTCACTTTCCACCATCTCAGATTCTTGCCAGGTTTTTTTTTTTTTAATTTTCCCAGGCCTCCTGGCAAGTCTCCACCAACACTTTCTGCCACCCCCACCCTAAATACCTGCAGAAACAAAATTCAGCATGGATCAGTTGAATATAGAGCACCATCAGCAGGCTGGAGAATGGAGCATATCTCATCAAAACACACCTTGTGGCTAATTGCTGTAAGGCTGTGGTACCACTGTGCTTTTGACACTAATGATCTGAATAATTCCTTGTAAGTTTGTCACAGAAGAAGTCTGGATGATTTGTGAGTTAGGGAAGAAAAGGGGGGTATTTATGGAAGTGAGCAGCGAATCAGTAGCTACATAGAAACAGAATTTGAGCAAATAGGCAGAGAGGAGATCCCTAAATAAACTTTTGGTCAGATTGATAAGCACCCTATTTAAAAAAAAGGACAAATGGTCGTGGCTGTTCTTCAGTAGCAAACCAGATAAAGCCCCTACCTCGCTAAGGAATAGGTGGGTTGTTTTTTTCTGATTAGAAACAATGTAATAAGAACCTTAAATAAGAAACAACATGTCACTTCAACCAAAGTGTTGAAGTGGGTTCATTTTCAGCACAGTAGAAGCAGTCAATGTCATTAACAAAGAACAAGGCCTCATTTTTATCAGCTGCTCCACTGGTCAAAGGGCGATGCGTTTATCTGTGTGTTACCCTTGGCCGTGGTAGTCACTTTTCATTGCAGAGCTGACACTCTGCACTGTATCAGCTCTTAAAAAGAGACCTTGGAAATGGGGATATGGATGTCCCAACAGGCTCATTTCTGAGGAGGAATCTAGGCCAAAGAAATGGTGCAAGAGCTGCACAGGGTTTGAGGAGATAATGAGCCAGATTTACTAAAATTGTGCACGGAGAGACATATTACACCATTTACACCTTTCATCTCTGGCATGACTCAACTTGAGAGACTCATCAGAAAGTGCTACACTTATGGTCCCACCTTCTCTATAACATCAGAGGGAGCAATTTATATTAGTAGTTGAATATCCACTTACAGTTAGACTCATGAGAGCAACAAAACATTTTCAAGCTATAATCAAACATTCAAACATTTACATGTTTTCTACAAGTAATTCTAAAAAGTAGGCCTATTTGCAATAACAGTGTTACTGACAAGTGTAAGAGCTATAAGCATTCTTATAGCTACATTTTCAATTTATGTACACAGTAGTTTTAAATTATAGTTTGATTTCCTCTGATTTTGACGTTGAAATGATACTTCTTGATGTGTGCAGATACTTGTAACAGAACATAAGAGCTCCAGTTCTCAATTTTTAAAACTGCTATCAGTGAGCCAACATATTAGTCAGACCTTGAAAAGAAATCAACTCCCAAACAAAAGCATCAGAGCTAAGCCTAATCTATTTCCACATACCCAGCAGGCTGATTCAAAAGCTGCCTGTGGATAAATTATTTACTATGAACTATTTACTCAGCTGCAGTTATAATTTATTAAAAAATAACATGAATACCAAAAAAGAAACATTTCATTTTAAACATAAGTTGCCACCTGTTCTCTATCTCATCACATTTAATATTTATTACAAAATATTGCACCTGATAGATGGGGTTTTTGTATGTGCACCTCAAACTGCCAATTCTATTCATTTGGAATGCAAAGCAGAAAGGGAGTTTAATTGACTTGACTTCAAAATTATGGTGAAAGGATATAGAACGGTTTTGTTGTAAGGGTTATGTAAAATACGGGTTACAGCTTTCTGATAGTTCCACTATCCTGATATTTTTTTCTCTGTGTAGTTATAACATGTTCACATTTTGTGATTAATTTATGTACTTTCATGGAATTAATTTCATTTTATTACAGCTTTGAATTCCCAGATAATTAAATACAATCTGAATCTGAATCATCCATCTGTTACTCAGTAATGGCCAATCACAGTCAAGACTCTTGAGTCAGACCTCACAAAAGTCTTGATAATGGAGAGTTTTAAAAGTATAAGATTATAAAAGGCATAGCAGCTGTGGTTTGTAGAAGTCTTTTGTGTTGTTTAAGCCCATTCCATTAGTCCCCTTTTTGAAACCGAAAGATACTTTTATGATGATATTTGCACCCTCTAAACCTTCAGAATATGATTGGGGTTTGTTACTTCATATTTGATAYTTGCTATTTCAATTGATGTTATTGTGGCTTCTGGGTTAGCAAGTGATCAACCGCTGACAAATTGACAACAGACACTCCTTCAGCATGAAGAAGCTGATTTTCATGTGGTTGTAAAGACTGATGGAGTTTCCTATGGTTGCTAATGATTTGTCAAAAAGCAAAGAGCTGACAACCTGTGCTATAAAGCCTTAAGGAAATTTCCAGCCTGAAGAAGTTTAGTTTACAGAAAGCTCTCCAAGACCTTTACTTATATAATATGTCCAGAAAAAAAACAGTTTATCCATCAACATAGCAGTGAAGTGAAAAGCACATCAGTTCTAATTCCAAGTCTAGTCTGACTTGTTGAATAGCCTGAAAGGAAACACATTGACCTCTGCCTCTTTGCTTTGTGTTTGTTACACAATGACCATATATTTGTGGTGTTTAGGAACAGGTTGCTTTAAAGAAGAGTTTTCAGTCAAACCAGAGAAGGATACAAGAGCATGCCAACACTTGAAGGACAGTGTTTTCAGCAATTTATCTCTAGGAGACTTGGTGATAACAGTCACTGAGTATGTTACCTCTTCCCTGTCACACAATCTTCCCTGCCATGAAGCTCAGAAAGGAAATGGAGAACACTGGAATTAGCTGAAATTACCTTAGAATAATTCCACCAGAAAACCTGGAAGTGACATGGACTGTGTTTTCTGTATGAAAGAATTTACTTCTTTGTGGATATAGCTATTTTGTCCATTTTAGGGCTGATTTCTATCTCTATGATTTGAAGAGAAGATTCTGAAGACAACGTTCTGCCTTTAGAGTCCCATGGAATATTCCAGGAGATGAATATTCCTCCCATACTACTCCATAAGGGATCCTCACTCATAATCTCATTTCAGGCAACATGAACATTTACACTACTCAAAAACATATGAAGGCATTAAATAGAAAACTTTTTTGCTCACCAGATGGTGCTGCTTCCCTCCTGATTGTTTCCGAAGGTGGAAATCTGAGAAATTTGTTTCCTGAAAGCCACATTGTGGGGGCACCAGGCACATCAAGACACAGCACCACCTCCAGCGGTGTCTGCTGAACTAATATCACCTACTCAGAGACTTTTTTTGGTAAAAAAACCCCAACCCACCCAAGCATACAAAAAAATCACAAAAGGAAGGCTTGATTAGCCATATCTGTGTGTGAGAAATACGACCTCAGGAGTCTGCTGTCCAGTACCACCTAATCAAGGGAGCACCACAAATCACATGTGCTTTCCTGGCTGCCTGGAAAGCTCTGCACGTTTCATTCTGTGGACCTGGACAGGTTCAGGGCTTATTCCAGGCTGATCATCTAGACATTCACTTCTCTTTTAATTGAGAGTTTTGATGCCTCCATGCCTGAGCCCCTGAGAAGATTGCAAACACAAGCCAAAAGTGTTGAACTCTTTGACAWTCCAATCACTGTGAATATTTCATTAAAAGCAATTCCTTTTGCAGCAGAAATGTGGAAGCCAAGTTCACATTATTGCTTAAAAATGTGTGTGACTGTCTTTTGTGAGCCAGCTTAGCATTGCAGAACTCACCCAGAAAGTGGCATCCACCTCTAAGCCTCCTTTTACCTGGAAACAGGTGAACATGAGCTCTCACTCTTCTACCAGGCCACCATGAGTATTTGCTGTTGAATCTGAATTACTCCGCACCTTCAGGGATGAAGCATCACTGAAGCCAAGAGAATAAAAAAGTAGAAAAAAAAGAATGAGTGCAGTGGTTCGGGCAGCCAGGTGGGACAGAGATTTTCTTCTTCCTGCAAGAACAGATCAGACCAGGTTCTCTATTTCTCCATTCCAGTGTTCACCTGACCACAGCCCAGTTTCTGGCTCATTGAAAATGTTGACCTCACTGTGATCTCCTGAACATGTGAGAATCACCAATTTCTGCCCTTCCCGCTCAGTGGGCCTATAATCTGATGATTACCTCAATGATATCTCATCTAAAAGGGAAGCAGACATCAGATATACCACATCGGTCCCTAAACAATGGTATTTCTTGTAACCTTCAATATAAAAATCAGAATTACTAAAAAAGAATCACCAATACATTAAAAGAAAAGCTCTAAACAGCCATCCTCAGCCTTTTAATGAACCAGGGCCTATTTCAGCTGGAGATACATCAGGGAAAATCTCACTTTTAAGATTTCCTGGCTCCAGAGACCCCCTTGTTTTCTGGAAGGACACCCTGCTTTTCTTTTAGATTCTCATTGCCAGTGACCTGACAATGTGCGGGTAACTCATTGTCTCAGTTGTGGTGCCTATGTCCTTCATATCCAGCCGAAAAAATAAAAACCTCTTTATCTAGGACAGATTTCAGTGTAAGATACAGACCTAGAAAAGATTTTAAATTGATCGTCTGCAACAAGAGGAGACAATTTTGAAGTCTCTATAGGAAGCAAAAAACCCACTACTTACAGCAGCTTCCAAGAATCCTGCTGTCTTCACCAGGACTACCCTGCAGCTCCCTCTCTTATTTATACAGTTAAATAGCATTATGAAAGCAAAACGTTCTCTAGAAAACATTAACCAGGACAGACAAGCAGTATTACTTTAGGAATGGTGCAGAGTAAATAGTGAAGACAATTTTTCTGGACAGGCACCTGATTTTTGCTGTATAGGCATGGCCCTGTCTTTTCTTAATAGTCATAAGAGTCCCCTGCATTTCTACACATCCTCCTGCTGGGAATCCAACTACTTACTCTAGAAAATACTTCACATGCATCATTAACTTCTGTAAACTGCATGAGTTCATACAGTRGAAGTACTGAAGTGAGTAAATGAAACATATACATAATAACAGATATGAGCCTAAGGAAAAAAACAGCTGGATGCATGCTGCAGCCAAATCTCAACTTAGCATTTTGCACAGAGATATTTTGCTAGAATTTTAATAGTTTTTATTTGACATATTTATTTTAAACGATACATTATTTCTTAATTACCGAAATTGCCRTTGATAAAGGCCAGTTTCTGGGGACATCACTTAAAATTCAAGCTGCAGTAGTGACATTTGTAGTGGCTGGGGGTTGCTACAGGGATGGCAGAATGAAGGCAGATGTGAGCATCCAGTACACTGTGGTACCCAGCACACCTCAGCCAGAGTGGTGTCACCCGGTGCCTCATGCAGCAATGGATTGAAGGACAAGCTGTTGCCTTGCGCTCCCAGTATGGGCTGGCACAAGGGGCAGACAGGSAGGGACAGGCCAGTGCACCAGAGGCTGCTTTCACAGAGCTGGACCCATGTGGCCAGGCCACCTGTGGCCATGGCCTCCTGTAAGGGGGTGTTCTTTCAGCACCCATGGAGGAACAGCCACAGGGACTGTGCTAATGTGGGTGTGACTGAGGGACTGGAAAATCTCACAGGTCAGTGCCCTGGTGAACACCTTCCACCCAAGAGGAGCACCCCCTTGGGAGGCAGGGAATTCAAGGAGAAAAGGTGCTTTACATCACAGAATCATTTAGGTTCAGAAATACATTTAAGATCATGAAGTCCCACCATTAATCCAGCACTGAGAACTCCCCACTAAATTCTGTTTTTAAGTGTCAGATCTACACAYCTGTTAAATATCCCAAGGATGGTGATGCCACCACTTCCCTGGGCAGCCCGTTCCAGTGCTTCATAATCCTTGTGGCGAAGAAATCTTTCCTAAGACCCAATCTAAACATCTTTTGGCACAGCTTGAGGCCACTGCCTCTTGTCCTATCACTTGTTACTTGGGAGAAGAGACCAACATGTACCCTGAAGCAGCCTTCTTTYGGTTGTGGAGGGTGATAAGGTCTTCCCCAAGCCTCCTTTTTCCCAAGGTAAACAACCTGAGCTGCTCCAGCTACTCATCCTAAGGCTTGTGCTCTAGACCCTGCACCAGCTCCATTGCCCTTCTCCGGACAGYCTCCAGCTCCTAAATGTCCTTCTTGTAGTGAAAATGCCTTTTCTTGTAGTGCACGTTAAAGGAAGAATGTYTCAGAGTAAAATGTTTTACAATAACAGGATGAAAGTTTCAGAAGGATTTTCCTCTGAGCCATTCCTTAGGGGTTAGCAATGAATGGAAGCATTTCTTCTCCTCTCTTTTCCAGTCTGTATGCCTGCACATGTACAACTACCACTAATTACAGCACAGAAGGTTCTGTGCATTTAGGGCTGTTGGAGCTTCTGCAAGTCCTTTCCTTCCTTTCTTTTCTGTGGGTGCCTTTCACCTGTGTAAAGGTAAGCAGGTGGTTCAGTAGGAGTTTTGATCAAGACTATTGAAAAGATGTTTGAATTGTTTACAAGCTGCAAAAAGCAGCTGGGCACACACAGTCTGTTTTTTTTGTAAACTTACAGATGAAAATAACCTTTCAGGTTGCAGAGGCTTACCTAAAACATATTCAGACTGAAGACGAATAACACATGCACTGAGAGAAAACTGAGAACACAATTAAAGTTCAGCTATGAATAAAGTTACAGAAAAAGAAGTGAAGAAAAAAATCAATATGACATAATTTAAAAGCAATTTAATCTTGCACTTGGAAGCGCCATTCAGCTGCTGAGATTTGTATGGGAGTGAAGGAGGGGAAATAAAATAAATAAAACCTAATCTATATCAATCTCCAATTTCATATCCAATGTGATACTTATTTTCTTTTTCCTCATCTATACAACAGTTTCATCCAATCATGTAAGCCATCCTGAAAATTGCTGCGACTCTGTTTCAATATTTGATACCAGAATACATTGCATATGAATATACAATGCATAAATTGCAYTGTTGTTGAACATACATGCATATTTTGCAGCTCTCTTTTTATAGAGTCAGTAGGCTTATGTAGGCACTGCTCTGGTATTCTGAAAGACAGGAATCCTTCCATTTGGTCCACTTGGTCTGCAATATTAGGTGTCCTATTACTTTGAACAAGTTACTTTAGTGTTTTTAAAGTAGTATTATTATTAATGAAAGATCTTAAAAAAATTATTTCATTTTTTAGTAAATTGACAAATTTAATAAGAGTTATCCAGTATAAATTCCCCTGAAAACAGTCTGTCTGTAGTCAAAAAAGAATTAATTATTTAGATTAGAAGAATTGTATGCTTGCTTCTCTAGTAGAGASAAATTTGCATACTTTTAAAATACTTAACTAATTTCCCTAAAAGCCATTTTAAACTGCAATGGGTTGCTGCTGTTCTGATGATGCCCTCTGGCGTACAGAGAGGACAAAGTCCCTCCTACTAGAGCRCTGATAGTAAATGTCAGTGTGGAGTTGATGAAAGCTGTATCTTCTCTCTCCTGCCTGGCTGTGTTTAATTTGTGGAACTCTGTGCTTCAAGAGGAAAGGCACTCGTGGTTACAGGGAACAGCTCAGCAGTGACCTGCCAGAACAAATGCCAACACACATCGAGTACAATTGTGCCAAGTGCCTGCTCCAGTGCTTCCGAGTGACAATACAGGAGACCTTCACCTTTAAGTTCCTTCTTCTCTGCTTTCATGCTGTGCCCTGGTCTTGACCCCTGCCTGTCCCTCACAGTGGTCTGGGCTCACTCCAAGGGGGATTGTCTTGCCCAGACACAGATTCCAGCTCCGATGAYGGAATACACACATAGTGCTGTCCCCTGAGCCACTGCAGTGAGTCCCTTCCCTTATTTCCAGTCTCTTTCTGCCATGCAGTAAAGATCTTCTGGGTCCCAAGTAGAGTTTTATTCTGTCACTTCCAAAATCTGGCTTGGAATCTGCTTCCTTCTCAAAGGCTGTTGTTGCACAATTGTTTTAACCTGACCAGGTTACAGAAGGCTGCTCCCAGAGGTGCCTCATCCCCCTGCTTCCGTGCCATCTCTCCAGGATGCAGCCCAGGACGAGTGGGTAGAGGAGGAACAGGTCTTTTTCAGCCTGGAGAAGAGAAGGCCAAGGGAGTGGCTGTGCTTGCTGTCCTTCCCCACATAATGGGCTGTGTTAGATAGAAGATGGGGCCAGAGGTGCCCAGTGACAGTGAGAAAGGCATGGGATACAAGCTGCAGCAAGGGAAACACAAATGRGATCTAGGGAAAGGAGTATTCACAGGGAGGTGAAGGACAAGGACTCCTCTCTGCATGAGGCTGTGAAACTGCTGTCCTTGAAGACATCCAAACCTGGCTGGACATGGCCCTGAGCAACCTGAGCTAGATTCCAGGCTGGTGCTGCTGTGAGCAGGTGGTGGGATTGGATGACCTCCAGAGGTGCCTTCAAACATAAATTATTCTACTTTTCTAACAAAAAATGACTGTGAGTCCATGCTCTCAGGAGTCCTTGCACTTGTACTGCAGGTTTGCCTATCACCCTGCAGGGAAACACCCCTCTGCTTCTCACCACACGAGTCCAGAGGCTTGTCCCTGAAACACTYAGCCCCTGGGAAGGTGTCACCTCCCTTGTCCTCTGGCATGCCCCAGCAGAGCCAGTGCCAGGCAGGCTCTCTGCAGGCCGCCCGGACAGACTSTGCCAGAGCACAGCATACACAGTGCACACCTAGAACAAACAAATCGGGGGGCCATCTGCCRCCCTCCCAGCATGCCATAGCCACGGCAGGTGTCTCACACCCCTCCGTGCTGCTGCCTGTGCTCACACTTGCAGCACTGTCCAGGACTGGTTCCCAGCATGGATTGAATCTCAGCAGGAATCCATTCATGCAGTTGCCTTGATTTCTGTAGTCCTGCCTGTAGTCCAGGCCTGTTTATGATACACTTCCTTATAGCCTGTGTGGTGGAGAGAAGGCAACTGGTGAACCTTGGAATAGACAAACCTGAATGGGCTATTGCAAAATTAGAAGTAAGTTGCTATGAAAGAAASGTTTGATACTGCCATGTGTCTCACATAAGTACATTAAGATTGTATGTTTTCAGATGTGTCCTTGGTGGGGGACTCAAGAAGTTCAGACTTAACTCCATTTGCTTGCTAAATATGCAAAAAGCATGAGTGTGGTGTCTCAACAGCCTGACTCTGCTGTCTGCCCTCAGGGCAAGATAAAGTGTCTCCAAAGACAGCTGTGTGATTGCAGTGAGCTATCACTGATTCATGGTAAAGTCTTTTAGCATAGAAGAACAGGGTTTGGAAAGTATATACTAATCTGTCTTGCACTTATACATTTATTATTGAGTAGATTTATGATCTTCTTTGAGCCATGAATAAACAATATATGTGAGTGGGTCTAAKTACAAATGCTGACAAAAAGTTTTCTACCCTTTATGTGGATGAATCCCATTCCTCTGTGTCTTTTTGCAGTTGGTCCCTCTGGAGAACCAAAGGGAAGAGGAACAATCAGTGAACCTGTTGCTGCTATGTTCTAWAGCTATGTGACATGAACATACTCAGATCTTTATTTTGATGGTGGTTGGTTCTTTCACCAAAGGCAGGCCCTAGATTTCTGCATTTCTGTTTGAAATGTCTTCACACCTCTTGCCCTGAGCTGTGAAACCAGGACCATAAGAGATTTGAACCCTGGAGGCTGCTCAGGGAGTATCAATTTCTGTACATGCCCTGT